CACACACACACACACACACACACACACACACACACACACACACACACGATAATGACAACCATTAAAGCAGAATGAGCACACAAACGCGTGCCAATCAGATTTTGTAATTGGATTGCTTTGTCATCACAGACCCACTAATTTTTGCAGTTGTGTAAACATGAGAAAGAAAAAGCAGAGCCTGGGATGTAAAACACTGGATCAAGACTTTGACTGTTTTAAAGAGTTCAGGTGTTTTTAAATGTGTTTGCATGAGGATCTTCTCCATAGTCTGTGTTTCACTACAGTAGATGTTTGGAGAAGCAGCAAAGTAATGTACTGCTGTGGATGGGGGCAGCAAAACATATTTTAGACCCCGCCAAAAAATCAATATCAAGTGTACGCCATTTTAAGAATATGTTCACCCTTAAACTCGACGTCAAACAGCCTTTACTAAAGGGGAGCTGAAGTAGTTATAACCCTCTAAACTATCCTGTTAAAATATGCTGAAGATTAAGTTTGTCCTCCAAATCAAATATCAAACATGTACTTTTATAAATCCGAGGCTCTGATTAGGTTCCTCTCTGCATGAGTAAATGTGTTTGCACTTTCACCAAAGCTGACCATTCATCCAGCAGCTAAAATCACTCATTTAATGCCGCCAGCTCTCCCCCAGGACCCGATCAACACCGCTGTGTAAACAATTAGTCAGTGCCAATGAAGCCCTCTCAGTGAAGCAAGCAGAAGATTAACACACACACCTGGTTTTTAACTACCTCTCGTTACAATCAAGTGTGAAATTATCAACCGGTGACCAGTGAAACCCCTTTGTGGTCAAGCACCTTCCTCCACGATTGGTTGGTGAAATTGGACACAGATTGTTCATTGGAAGTATAAATGATACAGGCTTGTTCTCTTACTTTCAACACAGAGTTAGCTTTCTTCTTGCCCCAAGTGCCAGTAAGAAATGAGCTTTGAGTGTCGCTGCCTTTACAGTCCTCCTGAGCGTGAGTCTAGAAACATACATTTCATTTGAGGGGCAGTTTGACTCTAAACACAGTTCACTTCTTTTCCTGTCTGTAAATATAAAACACACATTCCTTCCAACGTCTTTCACTCATTTCTATCCTTAATAATAGATAAATCAAGACGACTTTGTAACGCTTCAAGCCACCCTATTTATCATTAATAAGCAATGAATTAACATTTAAATAAATGGTTTATAACAAACTATCATGTAGTTAGCATCACGTAAAAGGATATTTTTTAAGTGTTTAATAATGAGCAGTATTTGACGACGATTACACCGTCTCCTCTGAAGACATATTTTACATTACTACAACTGTTTTACTATATTGTCATAAGAGGAGTTTATGAAAAGTTTATATAATGCTAAATCAATAAATGTGAAAGACTCCTTTAAAGAACTGAGGAGTTTAATCATAATACGTGTCGTTTCTTGAATCTGTCAACATGATTTTACAAATCCCATCTTTATGTAAACATGAATCATTATCATCATTATTATGGAAAATTAGTTGGTTAGCACATAGAAGATATAGAAGCTCCTTTGACTAAATACCGAGTCAAAGCTCTGCAACAGGAAGATCAGAGGGTGAGTAAAAAGGGAGAGATTTTGTGACATCGGTCTCTGTATGATCAGAGGAAAAAGAGGAAATTAGTCCTTTTTTAAAAAGCTTTAAAATGAATAATAAACTTGTGAAAGACAGTTAGTGACATGCTTCATCTCCGACTCCACTGCAGCTCCGTGAACGCTAGACAGAGGCAAACTAAGAGGAAAAACATGTAAACAAACTGCGGTTGAAGGGTGACATGCTTCACTAACGAGGACATGCTAACTGTCACAGCAGGCAGACAAATGTAGTGGCCCAATGTTTGCTATGGAAGACCATTTACACCAATGTGATATATATATAAAAAGATCCCGTCAGTCATTATGAAGAGAAACGTTCTCAAAATAATGACTTAGTATCTCGAAATAATGACTTATGGTAGTTTCTCATTAGTCCACAAAGACAATGAAAAGCAACTGTAGCACGTCTGTCTCACCTTCTTAATGTCCTCGATACATTTAATGATGTAACCGCGTTTCACGGTCTCCTTGACGGCGTAGGCGTCACTCAGGATCCCCAGGTGCTCCTCCAACGCCTGCTGAACCAGACTGGTGGGCAGGCTGGGGAGGTGAGCCAACTCCCACAGCACCTCCAGCACCTACACGGACACAACATGAGTCAGACTTCACCTGAATAATAAAACCTTCTATTTACTTCTCCATGTCCTGAGCCTTGACAGAATGACAGATAGACCCATGAGCGGGTTATGAGACAACGGGCCCCTCGTACACAGACATGCATAAGGTCCCACAAACCTCTCCTACTCATCCTCTGTGTCTCTTTGTGGTTGTTAAGTATCTCTCTGTGTGGTAATTTTGTGTCTGTGTAGTTGTTTTATGTCTCTCTGCGGTTCCTTGAGTCTCTTTGTGGTCGCTTTCTGTCTCTTTGAGGTTGTTTTGTGTCTCTTTGAGGTTGTTTTGTGTCTCTTTGAGGTTGTTTTTCCCCTTTTCATTGTGTGTCTCTTTGTAGTTGTTTTGCAGTCTTTTTGTACCTTGCATGAGTCGTTTTATGTTCCAGGTTGAAATATGTCTCTTTAAATGACATTCTGTGGGTTGGCTTTGGGGCCCCTCACACTTTTCGCCCCTGGGCCTCTGCCCAGTTGGCTCGTTCAGTAATCCATCCGAGGATAAGCCAACATACCTTTCCTGTTGTAGTTTCAGAGCGAGCCTCTCTGCCGATCCTGCCGATCAGACTGAGCAGCTTCTGCCTCACGCGGTCACTCTCAACCTCCCAGCTCTGAACAACATGCAAAACAATAAATAAAAAAGATGACTATTTCCTCTATTCAAAGACGTACAAAACACTTTTCATTGAGCCAACACAGCACTGACCTTCTGTATGAGGACGAAGAGGTGGGTGAGTTGATCAAAGCTGAACTTCACAGCAGCAGCAGCGATGATTGTATGAATGTTTTCTATCACAGTTGATGACTGGCCCGCCTGAAACGATCACAAAAGAACCAATAGATCCATCAAAAGCAGGAAAATGTCACTTTTGAAACATTTGTCAAACAAAAAGAAAAGTGTTTTTGAGTTCTTTTGATGTGTGCACTGGTGCTGACCTGTATTTTCCAGATCTTGGAGAGTTCGTCCAGCGACAGTTTACTCCCCAGCAACTCAATGATTCCCTTAATTCTCTCACAGTACTGAGCTTGATCAATGTTACCTGAGACATACAAATATTTAATGAGCACTGTGAACACCGTCAAACCAAAGCCCGAAAACCTTTTTAAGATGCATTTATGAAGTGGTTACAAATTAAATTGTTTTTCAAAGCACTTTGTGACAAACATTTGAATCGGTCTGTGTGGAAGTGATGGGTTCTCTTACCCTCCAGTGCTATTGATAGGACTGAGTTCTCCACCAGCCAGTCCAAAAGCTTATCTGTGTCAATGGCATTTTTCACCGTCTTTGACACTGTACTCTCCTCTATCAACTTTGTCACCTGAGAGAAGAGGCAAAAACTCATTAAAACACACCAAAAAAAGAAAGAAATCTCGTGTAGTTTAGACTCCAAAGAGCTGACCTCTTTGAGGGAGTTCATCTTGGTGGAGAAGTGGGGGGTTTTGAGCATGCGCAGCAGGGTGTCCAGCCTCAGGTCATCCACCACAGTGACCAGCTCCCTCTGGAACCTCATACACAGCAGCTTGATGGCCGACAGAAGGTCCGGGATGCTCACCAGACGCTACGGTAGACCGACAAAATGAGGAGCAACATCTCGGTTAAAGGCACAATCAATGCAGTAAAATAAAGAAATCTATATATGTCTGATCCTGTGTCGGCGAGTTAAAAGGCACAGTGAGTAGGATTAGTCGATCAACGTTTGTAAAGACAACATTCAAATGTGGCCCCTCCTCACAGGCTCAACAATGGCTACCACGTTTGCCACTCGCACTTGGAACGTCAGCTTAGCGCTCCGCCTCGCTATAATCACGTCTTTTGGCGCTATGACCGCCATTTTTGTAGCTTCCTCTTGGATGCCTGCTTACGATCTGGCACCTTGTTGCTACATACTACATATTTATGAAGGTTGATGCCCAGAAACGTCCGAACGGTACATACATTGTTTAATAGCAAAAACCAACAAATTGTGTTTTTAATTATTCAATTGTCTCTTGTTTGATACCACATATGTCAAAAGATATTTTGGAGTATTGTTTTTAGAACTAATTCTCTCTTTTTTCTTCCTTAAAGAGCATTTACATGAGGAAACTGTATAAAGGCGTTTAGAGCTAGTGTTAAGAAGTGAAACAGGTCTTAATTCTCTGTGTATCTATTTTATATTGATGTGAAAACATCTCCTTTAAACTAGCGTTGAATAGCTTTTCCTCCGCGGATTTGTAATTCACAATCAACCTGTCGAAGGATCAGCGACTAGAAAGCATTGATGCCGATTGGCCGATCGCATATTTGTGCTAAAAATCCGTCACTAGTGCAGCAACAAGGACACAACCCCTCACTGGCTTCCCAACACAAACGCACCAACAAGCCGGATTGAACATAAGTGTTATTGCGTTCTCTCTCTCCATGAATTCCAGTGAAGTGAGGGTGACGAATATAAAATGCTACCTTGTCTTTAAGGTCCTTTTCCTCCAGGTTCTGCACGTACGTGATCATCTTATGGATGACTGGATCGAGCATGGGCTAGGAAAAACAATATGAAACTTTAATGGCCACTGCAGCAAAACGGTAAGAAGATACAGCAAATAAACACAGAATACTTGGAACAAGGACAAAAAAACAAAACATACTAGAAAGATGTGAATTACAATATATAAGGCAAAATAGAGATAATACACAGTAGCAGTTTAGGGTCAGTATACTACCAATAAGTGCGTATGAGATGGCTCACCTGGACGAGGCTGGAGTTCAGATATTCTGCACCGACTCCAAGAGGCTGAACCAGAGCCGACACGCACTGCGGAGGCAGAGCGGAAGAGACTCAGATACAAACAGACTAATTAAATCATAAATACCAGCAGTCTGACAAATAAGTGTTCATTTTTTGAACATAATTGGCCTTAGTTGTGAGGCCGGGATGTATCTATATATCTATAGGTGTCACTTTTGACGGCTTATTAAAGAAGATCTACACAACAGCAACAACCTACCGATGCTTTCAGATTCAAGTGTTCAGAACAAAAGTCACACTGTGTTCAAACTGATGCTGTTTATGGTCTCAATCTCTAGTTTCAAGTCTTCTTCAGCATGACGTTCATTTAGAGTAAAACAGACCATAAAGCAGGGTATGCTTTAGGGCGGGGCTACTGTGATTGACATGTCTCTACGTCGCTCCTACACAGTCCAAATATGATAACTTCCGAACTCAAAGCTTCAAAACATCAGTCCACAAACCAACAGGTTGATGACATGACGACTCCGTCCATTTCTTATACAGTCTAAGGTTCTCACTGGTGCATGCGAGTGACAGTAAACAGATGTGTGGGTGAGTTTCCAATACCAGAGGCCAGCTGTCATTTGTCCTTCGGTGCTAAATCACAGGAGTGTAATGAATGGTTCCCGTGTTCCTGTTTCTGGCTATCTTCCATCTCTGCTTCTGGGCTCCTGTCTCCTCCACCTCCCTATTCACTCAGTGAATCCCCCCCCCCCCCACACTTGACTTCCTGCTTAAAGCAGACAAATGAAAGAGTCAGCCCTGGGAGTCAGTGGAGGGGGGAGCACTCATCTCATTATCTTTCCTCCTTTCACTTTCACTCTCCCTCTCTCTGTGCTTGTAGTATGTTAAGTATCTGACAGCTTACACACTCTTATTGAGCTTTCTGACACTGAAGAGCACCCACCCAGTCTGCACCCACTCTCCTCATTTTAGAGCTGCACCCGAATCTGACTCGTCTTTATTAGCCAATCGTGCCCGTGCACCTGAACCTTTTCCGGAAGCAAACAATCGCTTCAGCCTCGGCTACCAGTCGTTCATTTCAACACGGATAACGAATCACAGGACTTGCTAACCTTGTTAATCAGCAGCTGTTGCGCAGCTTATTTTTGAAACGAGACTAAAAACGATGGAGACCATTTTTCGTTTTTTAAAACGAAGTGAGTGTCTACGGTGATGTCGGCAAACCCACCCGACCCGTCTTGAAACAGAAGGGGGTGTGTGTGTGTGTGTGTGTGTGTGTGTGTGTGTGTGTGTGTGTGTGCGTGCGTGCGCACACTGAATCAATGGCTATGCTCTGCTGTGGTTCCGGTTAGGTTCCCAGAAGGAAGCATCAGTACAAGGATGCCTCAGAACACACAACACAACAGAGCAGTTTAACCATCACACAGCGGGAGGATGAGAGAGTGTGTTTGTGTGTTAGTGAGGGTGAGGGGGGGACTCTCAGTACTCTGCAGCTGAGAGCCGTGGGGGTGAACAACGGTGACCTTTCGCTTGCATAGTCTGTCTGAAAGTCAGTCTGCAGCGCTTCTCTCCGTCCACCACCAGTAGGAACCGTCTCATCGCTCTCACGACACGTCGGACCAGTTAAAAAAAAGGTAAGAAGCTCAAAGTAAGGACGGTTTCTCTTACAGCAATCTCGAGTTCCTCCGTATTGAGCTTCGCCTGGATGGCGGTGAATCCTCCCAACTCTCCAAACTTGACACAAGGAAAGGAGACACATGAGGGCAAACTAAAACAAATATGGCATTAGTGTAAAGGAGACAGAAATCTGGCTAATTACTCACTCGATTCACCAAATCAACCAGCCAACCGTGAGGCTCCTGGAAGAGAGAAGTATGTTTATTAGTGGATTTATTCAGTAGTGACACTGCAGATTATTGTCCGTCTCTCTCTCACACACAAACACAAACACAAACACACACACACACACACACACGTACGTTGTGTGTCACTCACACATGTTCTTCTGAACCCCATTGGCTCAGTTACACAACAGCGACGATGAAGAATTTGTCGCCCCCCCCCCGGACCCGACTACGAACAGTAAACACAGGCTAATAAGGAAGTGTGTGTGTTCATACTAGCACAGCTTTACATACCTTACTAGTGCATCTGGATGACTTGGCACACATACGCCGATCACACTTAAAAGAGTCCCAAACACACGAGTCGCCCCTTACCTTCTGATAGGCGTTGCTCGGAGAGACGGCGAACATGTTGGCCTCTTCCCCAAAAACTTCCGCCCAGTTCCTCTGACAGGCCTTCATCCGGTTCTTAAAGTGGTACTCGTTATCCGGGTTGAAGGCCTGGACACAAAAACAACAACGACACAGAACACAAATACATATTTATGATTCATTCTTCAGCAGCAGATTATATTCTTTTTTAAATGGGGTCACTAGAAGATCATTCTTGGTTTTGGAAACAAACTAAAGTAATTTGCTGATTCACAGCATCAGCCATTCACTGATTACAATGAATTGTTTTCTCATATAAACTACGGACGTTGTCCAGAGGTTCACACATGAAGCTCACAACAGGAGACGCATGTCAGACACATTCTCACTACTGGAAATACTCCATTTGGTTTCGGCGAGGGGTGAGAGTCTCTCTCCCTTCCTTGAATTTGTCTGACGACTTTTCGTCGTCTCTCCAGTTCTACTTCTTCGTTGACGTCTTTGTGTTAATGAGCCTTCTTCTTCACCCTCAGATGTTTGCCTTCTTCTGTTTTTAGCTCCAGCCACATGATAGAAAAGTCATCAACACGCTCACTCGCTCGCCATTAATTCTGCGTAAAATGATCGGCTCCATTCCCACATGGACTTAATCGGACATCACAATGACTTTGTAATGGGGAGCTGATAAAGTCTGTCGTGGTTAAAGTCCGGTCCGATCGATTCGGACATTTCCGCTCTCACATACAGCTTCCTCTGAGTAATGTCAGATAATTCCAGGGTTGATCTTCTGCCACACAATAATAACTGATTGATCATTTAAATTAAAATGTGTGTTTTTGTTCCAGAATTGTGTCACGGGTAAAGTATTTATTTAAAAGTAATACAAACAAGTTTTAAGAAAGAATACAAAAAGACAGAAGAAAGGTAATAAAAAGACAAGTATTATGAGAACAGACCATAGTCAGGACTCCCATCAGGTTTACAGGGACGGGGTCCTGCTTCACCCTCTCTGCAACCAGCTCCACCAGCAGCATCAGCATGTTGTAGATTCCCTCGTGAATCTCGGTGCCCCATTTGTGAACGGCACTGCTGGTCAGCAACTGGCGACGGCGAACAAGACGGACAGAACGGAGGACGATTAGGAAAATGTACGTCGATGAACAAGTACTGAAACACAGTTAATCTCTTTGTTGCTCACCTTTTTAAAGGCCTCCGGCATGCACCGATCTATGAACCGCTTACAGTTTTCATCAGCGTCAGCAAGACCTGGCAGAGAGGGAGGAGTTGGATTCACATATTCATCTCATATTCAAACATGGGGACAAAAAAATAAATAGCTGTGACTAAGGAGGTACAGATTGAGCCATGAGACACAAGTGTCCAAAATAACAACATGTGAAAAACACCCAACGGTCCAAACAAAACATGCCACCCACACACATAAAAATGCAGATGGCGAGCATTTTGGTTATAATGCTCGCCATGGTTAAAATACATTTTTCCCTCCCACACAACCGCGGTCTTACCGTGCCGGGCGAGGCAGGTAGAGGCGATAAGACACTTGCCCAGGGACTCCTCTCTCTTGTACGGGATGGACCAGTGGTCGGTGAACACCCGACTCTCCAGCTCGTACAGGTTGGTGGTGGGAAACTCCATGCTGCCCCCCGAGCAGTTCCCATTCTCATCGTTGCTCCGCTGTAAACGCACATGCATGACGCAATTACAACCCTTTCCTTTTTTAAAATCGCACTGCGTCGTCCGTTGTTTCAGGGCGCTGCAGCTGTCCTCTATGCGAGGTTAATTCAAACAGCCTCTGGCAAAGATAAAGTCAGAGAGGATGATGCTCAATTCTTTTGCTCGCTCGTGTCCTCTCTCCTCAACGATCTGCCCTTCATCTCTATTTCCTTCCAAAAAAAGCTTTTAAAAACAAATCTGCACAGGTGCTTGTTTTCAAGTGTTTCACTGAAGTCAAAAGGGTTGTGATGTGTAAGATGTGGTGTGTGTAATGAACCCTCCACCACCTGACATGATGCTGTCTTGTTAGCAATATGATGCTACCTAGAGTTATCCTGGCACCAGTATCGGAAATGTCTCCAGTACAGATCCTAAAACGCTGGACCGGTTATCGGCGAGTACGCGAGTCTATGCACCGATCCGATATCACGTTATTATATCACTTATCAGCTGATTTACACTACACAGGAACAACACGCGTCACTCGCTACCCGATCTGTACATCCTGCTCAATAAGTACTGCAGCTCTGTAAAAAACATAGCTGTAATCTGTAATCGATGAAGGAAGAAGCCAACGAGTGAGCCACCTCGCGTCTTTCTCATCTCTGAGGAGAGTTGCACACACGCGCAGTACCGATCAGGCAAAGTGTAATCAATGCTAGAGCTGGCAAAATGTCAGCAATCTGGCAATATTTTACAGTGGAGAATCTGTCAAACTAGATAATAAAAGAAAGTTATATTGCAATGATTCTCTGTATGCATTTGTTTTAACTAAAGGGTTTAACTTGAGCCAGGTCATACAACAACGATAGCGATCCTATCACAGCCACGCAGGGTTAGTAGTATATAGCTGTTAAATATTACAGTAATATATATATGTTTTCAGATCAGAACTCGGCTGATACGCTGCTTCAGGTATCGGATCAATATCAGGAAGGACTAAAATGGCCTCAGAAACATCTGTCATGCTGCCACACAATGACGTATTTTCTGCGGTCACAAATGAACCGGTCGTGATGGTCAGGTTTAAAACCAAAGTGACCTCTTAAACCGTCTGCATTCACGGTTCACGAAGCTGAGCTCAGACTCAGAGAACACAGCGTGGCCAGTAGCAGTAAATTGTACGAGTCCATGCGGTGAACGCACCCGAAGGATTATTGAATAATTTACATTACGTTTACATATTCATGATGTCATTTGAATATTCATGATTAAATTCTTCTGAAATAGTGCTGTGGAACATTTCAGCATGTGTACAAACATTAAAGCACGTCACATTCATCAACTAATGATTGATGTTTGCTCTGCAATTGTGCAAAGCATTTAAGCAGAGCTATCTCTAGAGGCTTGACCTGCTGTCTAGTATTAAAAAGCATCTTAAGCTACGACGGAGCTCTGGGATTCAGCTCCAACTACATTAGAAATGACCAACAGTGTTCACAGCTCATTGGTCACGTTGGCCTGTGGGCACTGCAGAGTACAAATATGAATACAGCAAAGTACAGTTAGGTCAAGTCTCACCAATTTGAATACATCTCCACATATTAGCATACATAATGGTCAAGGTGTTCAGTGCATGTTTTAATGAAACATTTTATAAAAGTGCTGGACTGAGCGCTAAAGAGGAGAGCCGGAGAAAGAGGGAAAGGGAGGAGAAGGCAACAGAGGAGCATCATGTTTCATCCCTTCCTTTTCTGGGTAAATTAGAAATGACAGATAGATGGATGAGAGGAAGGAGAGAGGGCGAGAGACTAACCTAACACCGGTATAAAAAAACAACACTAGGTTCAAAGTAACAGAGGGGAGACATTTCATTGCTGGCAGAATTTGCAAATCCCTGATAATTTAGTATAAATACTGGTTCCTCTGATTTCTACAAAAAGGACAACATAGAGAAAACAAGAAATGTCCTATCTACAATATTCAGGACCTCTTGTAAATAACCAAACGGGAGAACAAATGTGCAAATAAGTTGCAACGTCCTCATTGTTTCAAGACCTGCAGGCTTTAGGAGAAACGGCTCAGGTCTCTAAAGGCACAGACTACATGTGAGGAGGCTGTGCAGGGCGATGAGGTAACTCGGGCCACTCTGTTACTATGCACCCTGCAGCCCTCCTGGGACCCCCCCCTGCAAAAATAAATAAATAACTGCAATGTGTTTGTGTGCTAGGGAGACTGCAGGCTATATTTAGGAGCATAACATGGGGCCATAGGCCTGTGACGTGCCTCTTCAGCACAAACACAGCAAACAGAGGACGCGAGGAAGAGGGGAAATAAAGCAGTTTTATATTCTTGTGGCTGATTTTCTACGCTGCATGTTTCAGGAGTTATGACGACATGTGGGAGAGACGCTTCTCCAACTCACGACAACTACACATTCTGTAAAGGTTCCAATAATATACATGAGTGCATAACGCAATAACAATAACGGCTGAAACAAGATGGAGAAAATGGGTTCAAATTTGACTTGTGGACATAGAGGGAAAATCGTTTTTTTGCAGCTCTTTTTTAGATTTAATGAACTCAGTATGAGTCACTTTGAAACATCATTATTGGCATATTTACAAGAAATAGGCTCATTATCTACAGTGACCTGCAAGTGCTATTTTCTGCATACTGTAAATGCCAACTGTTGTTTACGCTACAGCTACAACCGTGTGACAGCGGGGAAAGAAAGATGGCCAAAAGCTATTGTGGATAACTTGTACCTATTTTATGCTGATTCATAATCACAGCAGCTGGAACAGCCAATCAAAAGGGATACAACACGTGGTTAGAAAGTCTGAATCAGTCATCTTACAGTTGTGATTTTTTTTTTAAAGAAAGTGCTGCTCTCCTTTGAGGTGGATCTCTGACAGAACCAACGACCGGCCTCAAAGCATCAAGTGCAACGATCCTCTCACACACTAACACACACACAAACACACTCTCACACGCACACAAACACACTCTCACACGCGCACACACACATGATCAATTACCTACTACCAGAGAAAGTCTGTGATTTAAATCCTCCAGAGCGACGCCTCTGTGCCGCTACACCTGGTCCGGCTACTGGCGCGTTCAACAACTCTCAACTAACGTTAGCTTAGCTAGCCGGCTACTATAGCTAGCTGGGTTTAGCTTGTAAGTTTAGAATAGCGATTTAAAGGTTAAGCTACATCTGTTTAAGTAGCTATATGCGTCATGTTAGCAGACAAGTGACAACGTCCTGGTCTCGTATAGGACTGGAGAGTATTTTCCGCCTGCTCTCTGACAGCTCACGTTGGGCTCGGTGCGTGTAGCATCGAGGCTAGCTAGCTTTAGCTAGTTTAAATGGGCGAGCCCCACTGTTCTTGGTTGGAGACGCTGGTTGCTACTGCTCTTACCTCGCTATCCACTACATCATGGTACGCGGGCGGTGGATCAAACCCTCCCGTCCCGGTCCCGGTCCCGGTCCGCCCGCTGCTGCTGCTGCTGCTGTTCTCCACGTCTCCTCCGGTCGAGCCGCCCACGCCGCCGCCGGGTGCAGGCCCGCTCTCCATCGGCTCGTATCCATACCCGAGTCCGGGGCTTTCGTTCGTCAGCAGCGCCACGGCCTCGTTGATGTCGTTCTTCGCCAGCCGAAGCGCTTTCCGTATCACGTCGGGGTCCGGGAAACCCATGCAGAGGAGCGTCGTTATGTGCTGCTCCTCTTCGGTCTCCATGTTTTTTGGGGTGGGGGGGTGGTGTGGTGTCTCTACAGACTAATAGTAACGGGGTGGTCGGCACAGCCCTGTAGCTGTGCACGCCGCCATGTTTACAGTCCACTGCTGCTAGCCTGTCACGAGCCTAGCTTCTTTTGACACAGGTGTTATGCCGAGTTCTGCCTGCCAAGAACCGCATGCTTCTCGCGGGAGCGCGCACAGCGATAAATCCCGAGACGTTGTAGTGATTTCTAAGGTTTTTCTAAGATAAAATAAGATAATCCTTTATTTTGGACATTTACAGGATTGCAGCAGCATAGTGGATAGTGCAAACAAGAGACATAGTAAAAAACAAGATCAAAACAAGTATTATAAATAACTTAATAAGTAATTAAACAGTAAAAAGGTAACAAATCCACAATAACTAAAACATAACAAAAACTATTATATATACAGACAGAATATTTTTTTATTGCACGGTGTATTTATATTGCACAGATTTTGTGTTGTGTATCAGGGATGGAAGCCCATTTTTAACAAGAAATTAAAAATAAAATTATAAGTTAAGCATAATAAGAAAAATACAGATATCCTAAATTAAAATGTAAGATAGCCTAATTTTGATTTACCATCTTATAATTTAAGAATATATATTTTTAATCATGTCTTAACTCGTAATCTGTTTTTTCTTTGGCAGAAATTGGCTTTTGTAATTATTATTAATGCATTAATTCAAATATTATGAATGCAATTCAATTGTAAACTATTATGTTACAACCATAATATTAAATATGGTTTACGTATTTTTATTGGGGGGGAATATAAGGATGACCTCTTCTAGCAGTAAAATAATTATCTGTATGTTTTTAAAATGGTGATAAAATACTAGAGAACAATGATGTAGTTTTGGAGTGAAATGTGGGATCCATTTGACGATCAAAACTAATGTTGGAGGAACCTGTGCTTTCTATGTCATCAGAACATAGACAATAAAGTAGCTGAGTACATGTACTTTACCCAGAAATATACATTTTATTGAGGTTTATTGGACAAAAGCCAATCTTTTTGAAAAACAATTTATTAATTCTCAAATTCGATTATCTTTTTATTTTTTAAATTTATTGTATGTGAAAAGTCTAATTATTATGTTGACAGGCTGCAGCCTCCATGCATTTTTTTAAAATTACTTTCTTGTTTTTACTAAATAATTAAATATATTGTTAGCAGTAATTTGTAAAAGTGGTATTAAATAGCATGCCTCACATTCCAACCTCATCAGGGCGTGGCAAAGCGCGCGACTAGCGGGCGGTGCGCGGGTGGACGTCACGTGACCACTCATGTGACAAGAGAAAAAAAAAAAAAAAAGTCAAAACAGGAACAAAATGGCTGCGACGGGCGACGACGCCGCAGCAATGGACAGCATCTCCAGGGCACCAACGGCACATTTGGCGGCTCTGAACGCGGCCGCGAGCCTCAGCTGCCCGGCGGAAGCCCCGGAGGATGTGGCGGAAAGCCCCGCGGTCGCTCCCAAAAAGCCCAGCACGAACAGTGGGTGATTGTCTCCTCGCAGCTTCCGTAGCTTGCTAATGCTAACGTAGTAGCATCGCACAGTAACCTAATATTTTGCTTTTACGTGCGTTTAACATTGTAAACCATTATTGTCAGTCTGTTTTCTCTTGAATTGTTTATCCTGGCTTTATTATTATTATTTACTATTTTTTTTCTGGATGTATCCTGCTAATGCTCGCGTGCAGGTGATGGTGGTGTGGAGACAGCAGAGGAGGCTGTGGAGCCTGCAGAGTCCGATATCAACGAGTTGTGCACCGATATGTTTGAAAAGATGTCCGTCTTCCTGCAAGGAGAACTAACAGGTCTTTTAACACATTGTACATCTTCTCTATTTCTGCACATAGGAATAAACTACATGTTGAGCGAGAGTAGTGATTTAAAGATGCACTCTTTAATTTTTTACTTTCATAATCACCTCCCTTACCCTCTGTTTTGTTCCCTGTCTCATGCACATGTCCTCACCTGTTCAGGGACTTGTGAGGACTACCGTCTGCTGGAGAACATGAACAAGATAACCAGTCTGAAGTACATGGAGATGAAGGACATCAGCATCAACATCAGCCGTAACCTGCAGGATCTCAACAACAAATGTGAGTGAGACACATTATCCGTCACGATATTCTTGTTTATTTCCTCTTCTTACGTTATATCTTCTACTGCAACATGAACGTCCTGCTGGTATGTCTGTTGTTGCTCTAGATGCCAGCTTACAGCCCTACCTGGACCAGATCAATCAGATTGAGGAGCAGGTGTCTTCACTTGAACAGGCGGCTTACAAACTGGACGCGTACTCCAAGAAACTGGGTAAGACGTTTAATATGCAGAAGTGTGCATGTATAATATTTTACTTTGTTTTAATAGAATCGGTCTCACTCGCTATATCATTGGACTAAACATAAAGCCTCAGCACAGCACGTAACATCACGTCTTCATGCGCACACACACACACACACACACACACACATCCAAAAACTATCGATGTGCTTCCTTTACTTTACTGTGTTTGGTGAGCAGAAACATTATCGCTTCTCTCTCTATTTGATGGTTATTTTGACTGGTATGTGTAGCACTGACTAATAATACTACAGCACCTCTATCATTATAAAGTCCACCAGCAGATGGTGCTGTGACACCACAGACACACTTGGATATTTCTACATTACAGCCAAACGTCATCAGACCGCATTGCCTTTAGACTTGAGTGATCACATCCTAATTTTTCTCATCTTTGCAGAGGCCCGGTTCAAAAAACTGGAGAAGCGATGAGTGGTGGGGGGGTGGGTGTAAGAGGCCGACTTGAGAGTCTCGGTGCCTCCTCACCTTCTTTAACCCTGCATCGCCTTCTCCTCGCCCTGCCAGTCGAAGCCGGTAGCTGCGGGGAGGACGTGAACTGAGACGATAACAACAAACAGTTCGAGACACTTTGACACCTAGAAGGAGGACCCTGCAGGAAGCAGCTGAAGGCACATGAATTAGTAATGTAATGCTCGGCTTAGATTTAACTGCAGTATCACTGATTTTGGCAGCAGTCGTGCGGCCGAGACGAACTGGAGAGTGTGGCGTGAAATTCACTTTGTTGAACAAATCTGTCTAATTATCTTTAATTGAGTGGTGGAATCAGAATGTACTAAAGAAACAGATTGTCAAAGACTTGTGGATATAACAACACTTTGGTCATGTGTAGATATTTACCTGATGAAGCATGCTCTCAGATGTTTTTAATAAATATCCAGCCTTCTAATTCTGATCATTTTAGGCATCCAACCTCTTGACTGATATATTTCCACTTAATGATGATGTTGTGATTCTCTGATGTTACACGTTTACTTGTCCTGGCTGTGAATTCTACCACAAACTGGTTAAAAAGGTTACTGTGTAGAGAGCTGCTCTCTCTCCCTGTAAAGTGAGTTTAAAGCGTGCAGTTTTAAATGAAAGATGTTTGATATGGATGAATTATTGTATCCCTGGAGATTTTGACACTTAAAACTGGAGTTTTTTTTTTTTTTTAAATAAACACCGTGTGCATGTCATTGCATGACTGTTTCCTTTAAGTTAGTACCAGGAACTTTCATTTTGTTTTTCATTAAGAATAACTCTAGAAATAGACCCTCTTCTCTCTGATGGTCTCGTTTAATAATGGAGGTCATTTAGAGACATAAGTGTTAAATGAAGATGTTTTCATAAGCAGTTAGAAAGTTCCTCACTGTAAAATGAACCTCATGCTGGCAGCAGATGGCAGCCCTGCACCACTGATGGAGACTTAAATTGATGCTCAGTGAGTGTATCAAATATTTTGTAGCTTTGGGAAAAAAACTGCCCGGCTGGAGGAGGTTTGACTTTCAGTCTTAAGAAGGAAAAAAACTCTGGGAAGCGTGAGACCAACAGAGGGAAACGGATGACCCAACACTTGACAATTCAAAGGAATGGGTGACTAAAGATGTGTGTGGTGCCCTCTGTTTCCTCCTTTATATTATCTGCCCCACAGCAGAACCCAGAGCGCTTTTTTTTTTCTTCCCATGAGCAACGGATTATCTAAACTGACAGGACCTCCCTACTGAGAGTGTGTGTGTGTGTTTGGTCATGCACATGTACACGTGTGTGTATATATATGTTTGTGCAAGACCTAATCTAAAACAGGTCTCTATTAGTCCAGTTGAGGCCCTGGCACAGAGGGAGCTCATTATTCATACTGTAACATTATTTACTGTTGCACTGTGATCCTTCCATCTCTGCCTTCTTCCAGAGCCCTGGGGCATAGATTCAGCCTCCCCTTCCCAAAGGCTCTCAAATCGGGTCTATTTAATGATCTTTGGGGTTGTTTTCTGAAGGCTAAATGTGAGTGCCAGGAGGCAGTCAAGCGTAGAAGAGAAAGGCAACATGGTAATCATAGGTAAACCTTTTTTTTGTATTCTTCAAATTCAAAACTAGACTATACTGGAGCAATGTAGTTTGGGTGTGGAAACGTATTATATTCTGTATGAAATGTGTGTTTTTAATGGTTTTCAGACCGCGTGGATGTAAAGTACTGATATAAGACTTAGTATAGTGGACAGATTTAAAGGGGGCATATGGAACTTTTTCCGTGCTTGTACATTTGGGTATCTGGAGTGTCTATCAACTCACAAACTGTGAAATAAGAGTCTGTTTTTTGTGGGCTTTCTAGATCTTGAACGTAATCCAACGTGCCATTCAGATTATAGCTCCCCTTCCTGTGTCCCACGCAGGCTCACCGAGGGCCTAGATTTGGTTTCAACATTGTCAGGGACACATATTAAAGGTGCTATAGACGAGATTGGGAGCATTTTGATGCTCTCAACATGTCACAGCCTGAGCCTGCGGTGCGTAACTTGGGGACGGCCGTGGCTCACTGGGTTAATAGGGTTGTCTGGTAACCGCAGGGTCAATCCTCGACTGGGACGTGTCGTAGTGTCCCTGAGCGAGACACTGAACCCCCGGCTCACTTGGGCAAGCTAGCAAAAAATGTTCCCAAACTTTGCGTGGAGTCTCCTCTCATGTAGTGGTGTTACTTCTTGTTTATGGGATGGTAAGGCGGAGGAGTACTCTTTACAGACCACCTGGTTTGTCACTCAGGCCTTTTGTTGCATTTCATCATCCTCACTGATGCAACATGATCATCATGTTTGACTCCATATAACTTAACAATGAAGATCCTTCAGCTGCACTTTTTTCTCAAAGGATTACAGTCATAAGACGAAAACATAATGCTTTCCGTGTATTCCTCAGAAAAGACTCTTTTACTCTCTTTTTTTCCATTTCTGATCCTTATCCACAATGTAAATGCTGATTCCCGGCGTTGAAATAAAACCACAACCAGCGGGGGACTCTGTGCAGACAATGACTCTCTTGCAAACATGCTCTAAAAATGATCTCGCAAACCTCATCCACTTCCCTGCTTCTACTACATGCAGAGAGAAGAGGCTGAGACAATGCATATGTCTCAACACATGTCACATACAATATATCAGTTACATAGGAATGCTTCTGATTGAATTAGATACACCGTGGCTTCAATGTACAGATGTAATCAACTTAAAATACAGATTACGCAAAATGAACCAAATAGGCCTAACTCAAGAAAATAAATCATTCCAATTCAGATCTTTAGAAACGATACGGCCTCAATTTGATTTGGTCTGACGGAGCTCAGGGGATTTTGCCAGAAATCTGACTGAGAAAAACAGAATCAAACACATGTCCGTCATCAGCTCCGAGCAGAAGAGCCATCTTTATTCCTCCATAAGCCTTGAAGCGGAGACCGGGCCAGTTAACAATAACAGGGCAGAGTGCCACGCCGCAGTGTTGTGTAACTGACAAAGCAAGCACGAAGTTTTGGGCAGATTCCATGTTTTCATGAATGAGAGCGGACAAGGACACTCAGAAAGCAATTTTCAAACCACATTTGTTCTGTTTTTTTTACAAAAGTTAGCATTTCACTTAATTGGGCAATGTTGAACCAATGTAGTATTGTGAAATATCTTTTTTTCTTTTGGTCTCTCACTCTCTCTCTCTCTCTCACACACACACACACACACACACAGAAACCGTGATGGGATAAACAGCCCTCCATAGCTGCACATGTTAATACCCTCCTATGTCCCTGTAAAGCACTGACACTTAAAAGACAGCCACATGGCCCGGGAGAAACAGCAGAGAGCTTCGCGTTTACATCCATTTTCAAATCAGCCAATAGCTCTGGGAGGTATTTCGGTGCAAATACGAGCCACATGTGAGATCTGAGGGGACTGAGTCGAACTTCAAATACCTTCTACGAGCAGTGCACGAAAAGCCACATGAGGTCAACGTTTGGTACCGCAATCATTCACTGCGCTCCGCCGCTCACACCTTCATCATATACCCCGAGCGCACATGTGAGGACGCACAAGACCTGCGTGTTACATCTGACCCCCCTTTTGAAACTCGAGCCTCGAAAGATGGCGTCTGCCAGGTATGTGGTGCTGTAAGACAAACCTAATCCATTTTGATTTTACCAAAAACGTTCACGCCGTCACTCCGTTACTACAAATCTAGAATAAGACCAGATGGGATTGTGGCACAGACCACGTATGGTGCAGCATGCAGCGCCATTTTGGACGTGAGACGGATTCCAGCCGTTCCCAGCGGGCAGCAGAGTCGGGGTGTCAAGACTCTGGCTCCAAGACTCTCAGATCCTGAGGTTGAAACGTGGACCGAGGGTCCTTTTCCCTGCAGGAAGTCGTAACCAGCGACACCTGAGAACTGTCCTGTGTAATCTTTGTTAAAATGCGATGTTGGTTTAGTCCCGGTGTGTCTCCCGTTGTTGTTTGTGTTCCCATTCTGACTTCTCTGTGATGAGTCAGAGCCAGACTCAGACTCTTTGGCACCACAGCCATCAGTGTATGTGCATTCATCCGCATTATCCACATTACATCCAATTCCGACAAGCCGTCCCAGACGCAACGTCAAATCTTGCTGAAACGCATGTCAGCTATTAAAGTCCAAGAGTGTTTATAAATGTAATAAAATGCATTAATTTATTATTGTGTTGAATAAGTGCCACATGCACATTTAAAGAGGGTGTTTCCCAAAACAAAAACACAAACAAAAGCAGGAGAGAAGAGTAAATCAAGCCTACATGTCTGGATTAATTGATTAGATTAGGTTTATCTGCCAGAGAATACATATTTGAAATTAATATAGAATGCTTGCGAGCCTTAATGCATTATACATAGACTATATAAGAAGTGGACGTAGTCGTCGTGACGTCACCCATTGGTTTGTGGACGTTTTGAAGCAACCAATAAGCGGAAGTGACCATATTTGGACTGCGGAGAAGTAACGTAGAGACGCAGTATACGGCTCTGGTAGTGAGGGACCTGTCAATCACCGTGTAGCCCCGCCCTAAAGCATCCCCTGCTTTATGGTCTGTTTGACTCTAAATGGACCATAATGTACTAAATGAACATCATGCTGTATTGAAGAAGACTTGAAACTAGAGATTGAGACCATAAACTCATGTTTACAATGTTTACTGAGGTAATAAATCAAGAGAGAAGTAGAGTCATTTTCTCATAGACTTCTATACAACCAGAGGAGTCGCCCCCTGATGGACATTAGAGAGAATGCAGGTTTAAAACACCTCCGCATTGACTTCACTTGACAGAACCAGAGGTTGCTGCCTGGCATTATATTATTACTTTTTTAATTGTCACCTGACGCTCGATGTTTGTGTTTTCCTTTACGTAAATAAAAGTAATTTCCACCATAAATTGATGCAGAAACATATTTTGGTCGCACAAAGTCACAAGAATGCAGGAAAGAAAGTGTTCGATGCTCAAAATGTCTTCATTTCATCACATCCTGTTTATCAGGAGTAAAATGTCAGTAGTTCATAGTTAGCTCACAATTTAGAAATGGCTTTTTTGTCTGCCATGGCGAGTGTGTGTGTGTGTGTGTATGTGTGTGCGTGTGTGTGCATGCTTGTGTTTTCTGTTCAGCATGTGTTCATTAGCTCATCCAAATGAGTAATAAGTGTCCGGGAGCCATAAAAAAAAGAGTTGACTCATCTCTCAAGACCCCAAACGCTGTCCAAAAAAACAGAACTCAGCAATGACACACAAAGACATTCTGTCTGTCCAGCACAGGCTCACAATAACTGCTTTTCTTCAAGATTTATTGATTTGGCGAATAGTGAACCTACATCAATCTCTGTATAAGTGTTTTTTCTTTGCACTGTCTGTTCCAGTTCCATGACTCTGTTTTTCCATGGACAACAAACAGCATGAAGACTGCAGAAAGGCCGAGCATCAACGGCAGAAAGCTAAAGTCGTACACAGAACTTCTGCTCTACAATCCCAGAGTTAAAGGAGGCATGAGCTGCTTATGCCTTTGAGCTTCTTAACAGACCACCTTTTGTTCCCGTTCCTATTCTGTCAAATAATTTGAGTCAAATTCATTGGATGCGTACGCATACATGGCCAATAAAGCTGATTCTGATATGTATTTATTAATTGAACCTTTGTCCATAAAATCACTGATATAATATCAAACATTATACTGTTTCCCATTCTGACTATCCTGTTCTGAGACAATAAAACCATGAATTATGCTCATGATATGCATCTATACCTTACAAACTAAATTGTATCTATCGATCGTATATATACAAATAAGGTGAAGGTGCTTTTGCCATTGTTGCTCAAGTTAAAACAGACTCTTCGTTAGAATACTCCTCCCCTCATAATGTGATATTCTCTGGTTGGTATGTGTCGTATGTCTTTTTATCTTGGCTGTCTCTTTTTCTTTCTTCTTTTCATATTCACTCATTTCTTTCTTCTTACAAGTCCCCTTTAACCCACTTTTCTTATTTTCTTGTAACGCTCTCAGCCCAAAGCTGTCTCACCGAAAACCGAGACAAACTGGGGACATGAAAATGTTCTGCTTTGTGTAACCGTGTGTGAGAGAGATTCAGCTGAACATTGAATTAGACACACTTTTTATTTCCCTCTGCTTGTGGACAAAGGTGGGACAAAGCCAACGGACAAATTGCACAAAGACAGAGAGAGGAGAGGCTTAACTGAAAAACTGAATCAATTGAGCAGCTCAAGTCCATCGAATGTTTTTTTTTTGAATGTCTTACTCCGTGTTTCAATGATTTGGACCGAAGCATCTGGAGCCGCTGTGATCTCTTTCTTTCTTATCCGGTCCAACTCTGAGTGGATGAGCTTTGGCCGGAGCCAATGGGCAACAGGCTGCAATAATATTTCCCATAATTACCCAGATAACATAAACATAACTGCACCTGGTTCAGCTGGGCTACCTGGTCAGTTCTGCTGTGTGTGTGTGTGTGTGTGTGTGTGTGTGTGTGTGTGTGTGTGTGTGTGTGTGTGTGTGT